GCAGCCGTCGAGGTGGTGGACGCAATAGGCGGAGAAGCAGCGGGAGAGACCACCGGAGTGACTACCGGCCTAATAGCACCAGGAGCAAGGTGTGCAGTGCGTGCCAGCAGAGTTTGCAACGCCTGAGTGAACTGATCCAACAGGTGATCCTGTTGATCGAGTCTGGCGACTAGCATTGGGAGCGAAGGCGTGCCTGCACCATCAGGGTTCATGGCACTTGTGTAATGTCAGGGCAGAGGCCGAGGAACGGACAGGCAGGCCTAACAATATAACACACTGGCTGACGACAACCACCACCCACAGACCGAAGTCCCTCAGGGCGCTGAGTCTAAGTCTCAGGCTGCCCTTCACCAGGGCCCCTGATGGTGGGGATGGACTTGACGCAGCCAGGAACCAGGTCACGGCCCCCGAGACACCTCAGCTGCGGTAATGGCCGCCGCCAATGGCGTGTAGCTGGTGGAAGAGACAAAAGAGTAGTCAGACAAGCCGGGTCAACAACAACAGGACAAAACAGTACAGGACAGCAGATGAGAATCACAGGTCACGAGCCGGGTTCAGCAACAGAGGGTCAGATCAAAGGAGAATACAAAGAATAGTCAAGTCACAAGCCGAATCAGATACCAGGAGAGTCACGAGAGTCAGAACAGAGTAATAGCAACACAAAGACACAAGACACAAGTGCAAAGAGCATGTGCGGGCCACAGGCTTATATGTCATCAGCCACACCCCTCTGGGGGATGGACCACAGAGACCTGAAGGCATAAAAGGATTCCCACCATGCACAGCAGAATCCAAGATGGACGCCAGCACATGGAGTAACATAACCTCAGGGAAAAGGTAGGACCTTGACAGAGGGAAGACATTCCCATTCCAGGCTTGCTTTGATGTCCTTTAGAGTTACTGATACAGGCGCATTATATATGCGCTTCCGGGGAGTGCGCATTCTCTATATTACTATTTCACAGACACCTGTCTCCAGGAAGCAAGCACCTTAAAGAGCACTTTAATCATTTCTCTGAACTGTTGATGATCTGGAATTTTTTGTAACATACTTGTTTTATTAGGTTTATTCATTTCTTTTAGCGCTGCACCTATTTTACATTGCTTTTATTAAGGGTTTTTGGTTACCTTTGTGCATAGCAGCTTTTATTGAATTTTTAGAGAGCTCACATCTCCTTTATATTTATATGAAGAATTGCTACCCCCCTGCTCATAGCAGAGTGTAAGGTGTAAAACCCCTGTTTATATGATCTGTGAACAAATGTGGGATGTTTAGCCGCTGCCAAATGGGCCACTTGTAGTAGAATAATCTTCTCCCTTAGTCGTCTATATTGGAGAAAGGCAGTTTTGCGCTTATTTGTAGAATTGAAACCTTGGACATTATGTGAGATGCAATCAATCACCATGGCTAAATGCAAGAAAAATAGTGTCTGACAACATTATCGTGTCAATCTAATCTGCATCAGAAGTCTTTGGTCTTACTATTGGAGTCCCCAGATCTGCAACTCGTAAGGTGAAATCTGCTAGTATTTTATGGAATATCCACGCCGCAAAGATGTGGCAAGGAGATCCATAACACTGCATATGACTACCCTCATGTACTGAAAAATATAAAAAAAAAACCAAAATCATAAAACAGGGCCCAAAGAGCCCCTAAAACTAAAGAAAAACACAACAAACCATGGATTAGGGAGACAAGCTGAAACATAATATCAAAGGGCCAACAGGGCCCAAACCCCGTCACCGTAAAATATGGAGAGCAGAGTTGCCACTCCACAACAGAACGGTGACCTCTCCGACCATGCCCAGCAACAATGTGGGGTCGCGTATCAACAATTGCCACTGAAACAGCATGGGGGCCATAAATCATGGGTCTAATATCCCATTCAAAAATTTTAGCACGTCCAGATAATTAGGGGGTAAACCCGAGGCGGACTGACAACTCATGGGGCCCCCGGGCAATCGGGGATCATGGGGCCCCTGTGTTCTTGCCCAAACTCAAAAAAGCCTATGAAAAAGGTACCAGGGGCATCTTATGGAGCCCCCTATTGACCCTGGGCCCTCGGGAAGTGCCGAGTTTCCAAATGGTTAGTCCGCCCCTGGGTAAACCCAAAATTAATAGTCAGCAGCCAGTCTCAATATCATATCAAAGTAGAAAGTGGTCATCAAATGAGCAAATCCCATTCATCCCAGTTTTTGTCCGATTCTCCTCCTATCATGTCGTGGAGATGAAGTGTTCCAGATGGGAGATCCCCGATGGGTAGAAGGTGGACGTTGAGGTGTAGGAGCGTCTACCAGGCCCAACTTTGCCAGGATTTCTTGCCCCTAGGAGATACTTGTGTAAGTGCTGCTATTGTGTGGAACTATCATCTTAAAGAGAAAACTCCATTTGTAGCGAATTTGAGCCGAGGAAAGAGCAAACGTGACCTCCTACATTTTTCCAATGTGGCCGGAGAGACATCTGGAAAAATTTGTACAGTTGAGCCCTCAAAAGAAATCACAGGAGTATTGCGAGCCGCTCTAAGTATATCTTCTTTAATCAGAAAATCCTTCATATACAGAACAATGTCCCAAGGCGGTTTATCATTAGGAGGCTTAGGACACAGAGGTCTATGTATATGGTCACACAGAGAGTATCTAGCATCTTGGTCTGGGAGAAGGGATTAGAACAATTTAGTTGTAGCCTGTAAAAGATCAGTCACCGTCGCCAGAACTCCACGAACACGTAGATTATTCCTGCGGTTACGGTTATCGAGATCTTCAACCTGCACCTGCATAAAGTCCATTTGCAGATGTCATGATCCTTGGAGAGCTCGCCATGAGCCTAGCTCGTGTTTAATTTCTAAGTGGTCAGTTGTAGAACCTAGCGCAGCTATTTCCTGAGAAAGGACGTTTTATGGAGCTCCGACTGATATTTATCGGCCAGTTTGGAGTACATAGTCTCCAGACATCCCAGCTCCAGTTGTGCTGTCGGGCAGGGCACAGAGGCCACTACTGGCTAGGCCTCAACACATTTTGGTCACCAGAATCTCGGAGGGGGTGTAGAGAGCCTGGATTCTCCCCCCCCGGTAGCAGTAATCCAAGGCAGGGCCCCGGGCCTAGTGATGGCCGTGCCACTCCAGAGGGGGGCGTGCGGGCATTGCTGGCATGAAGGCCCTAACAAGCCTCAGCCTCTGGTGCCTGGAAGGGGGGGGGGGTCAGGTGGCAACTTAGGGCTCTCCCCGTGGGTCCGAGAGTCAGGGTGAGCCCAAATCCCAGGCCGCGCCAAGGATCAGCCACCTCTACCCCAATTTATAAGACTATCGCCTACTCTGCTCACTTTTGGAGATCTTTGAAAACCTCTCTTCAGGGAAGCCTATCCTGCCCTCAGCTATAAAAGGAATCTTCTACCCTTCCTACGAGTCCATTCCCCACAGTTAATACCTTTTGTACCACTAGCCCCTCCCTCCTAGATTGTAAGCTCCCAGGATCAGGGCCCTCCTAACCCTCTTGTATTGAACTGTATTGTTTCCCATTATATTGTAAAGTGTTGAGCAAACGTTTGGCGCTATATAAATCCTGTATAATAAAAAAAATAAGTTTGATCCCCTGCTGATTTTGAATGTTTGCCTACTCACAAAGAAATGATCAAACTCTCCACCATGGCAAAGATGTAGAGATTGTAGACCTACACAAGGCTGGACTGGGCTGCCAAACTATCGCCAAGCAGCTTGGTGAGAAGGTGACAACAGTTGGTGCAATCATTCACAAATGGAAGAAACACAAAACAAGTGTCAGTCTCCCTAGGTCTGGTGCACCATGCAAGATCTCACCTCATGGAGTGTCAATGATGATGAGAACAGTGAGGAATCATCCCAGAACTACATGTGAGGATCTTGTCAATGATCTCCAGGCAGCTGGGACCACAGTCACCAAGAAAACAATTGGTAACACACTACGCCGACAAGGACTGAAATCCTGCAGTGCCCACAAGGTCCCTCTGCTCAAGAAAGCACATGTCCAGGCTCGTCTGAAGTTTGCCACTGAACATCTGAATGATGCAGAGGAGGACTGGTGGAAAGTGTTGTGGTCAGATGAGACCAAAATCCAGCTCTTTGCCATCAACTCAACTCACTGTGTTTGGAGGAGGAGGAATGCTGCCTATGACCCCAAGAACACCATCCCAAATGTGAAAACATGGTGGTGGAAACATTCTGCTTTGGGGGTGTTTTTCTGCTAAGGGGACAGGACAACTGCACCGCATCAAAGGGACGATGGACGGGGCAATGTACCGTCAAATCTTGGGTGAGAACCTTCTTCCCTCAGCCAGGGCATTGAAAATGGGTCGTGGATGGGTGTTCCAGCATGACAATGACCCAAAACACACGGCCAAGGCAACAAAGGAGTGGCTCAAGAAGAAGCACATTAAGGTCCTGGAGTGGCCTAGCCAGTCTGCAGACCTTAATCCGATTGAAAATCTGTGGAGGGAGCTGAAAGTTCTAGTTGCCAAATGTCAGCCACCAAACCTTAATGACTTGGAGAGGATCTGCCAAGAGGAGTGGGCCAAAATCCCTCCTGAGATGTGTGCAAACCTGGGGGCCAACTACAGGAAACATCTGACCTCTGTGATTGCCAACAAGGGATTTGCCACCAAGTACTAAGTCATGTTTTGTGAAGGGATCAAATACTTATTTCCCTCATGAACATGCAAATCAGTCATCATTTGTTAGACGCATTTCTGCTGAATTTGTTGTTGCTATTCTGTCTCTCAGTGTTACAATACACCGAACATTCGATTTTTAGACCGATCATTTCTTTGTGAGGGGCATAAATTCAAAATCAGCAGGGGAGCAAATACGCATTTCCTTCACTGTATCTGAGGTGTATATCAGGGTGTGCTTCTTCCCCACATGAGAACTGGGATGTCCAGCAACATTCATCTAGAAGACATTTCCCGCACTCAAGGCTCTAATACACCTCGAGGGTTGTGTGGGACCCCCGATGTACAGGAAGACAGGACTTCAGTGAGGAACAGATCCCTCACTCAGGACAGGAATACGGCTTCTCTCCGTGTGACATCTCTGGTGTCTGTAAAGATTGGACTTCTGTGAAAAACATTTCCCGCACTCAGCACAGGAATGTGGCTTCTCCCCTGTGTGAGATCCCTGATGTATATTAAGATGGGATTTCTGTGAAAAACATTTCCCACACTCAGAACAGGAAAATGGCTTCTCCCCCGTGTGAGATCCCAGATGTTTGTGAAGATTAGACTTCTGTGAAAAACATTTCCCACACTCAGGACAGAAAAGTGGTTTCTCCCCCGTATGAGATCTCTGATGTCTGGAAAGATTGGACTTCTGTGAAAAACATTTCCCGCACTCAGTACACGAATACGGCTTATCCCCTGTGTGAGATCTCTGATGTGTGTAAAGAATGGACTTCTCTGAAAAACATTCCCGCACTCAAGACAGGAATACGGCTTCTCCCCTGTGTGAGATTTCTGATGTTTGTAAAGATTGGACTTTGCTGAAAAACATTTCCCACACTCAGGACAGGAATACGGCTTCTCTCCTGTGTGAGATTTCTGATGTTTGTAAAAATTGGACATCACTGAAAAACATTTCCCGCATTCAGGACAAGAATATGGCTTTTCACTGGTGTGAGATCTCTGATGCATAACAAGTCCTGATTTGTTTACAAAACATTTCCCACACTCCAGGAATGTGACTTCTCCCTCGTGTGAGAGCTCTGATGTTTGTATAGATTCAACTTCTGTAAAAAGCATTACTCGGGGCAGGAATACGGCTTCTCCCCTGTGTGAGATCTTTGATGTCTGTAAAGCTTGGAATTTAGTGAAAAACATTTCCCACACTCATGACAGGAATATGGCTTTTCCCCTGTGTGAGCTCTCTGATGCATATAAAGATTGCACTTATGTGAAAAACATTTTCCGCACTCAGACAGCAAAACGGCTTTTCCCCCGTGTGAGATCTTATATGCGCATTAAGTTTGGATTTAAAACAGAAACTTTTCCCGCACTCAGTACAAGAGAAGTTCTTCTCTGTTGGAAGGCCGGCCCGGTCCCGCACAGTCTGAGGTTCCTCAGGATACGAGGAATCCGATGGTCCATCTACACTGGGTGGTGCCGGATGGACATTGGAGGGAGCCGGGTTTTCTCCTGGACTATACTGTGTGATGTCCTCATCTTCTACTTTCCAGTCTGGAGACAAAGTGAGACAATCCTCGGAGGTTTTCCTCATCTCCTGGCCATGGACTAAAATACAAAGACAAAGAGGATTACTAGACAGGAGCTGATTGGTTCCCCCAAACCAGGACTCCGCCCACATCAGGCAGCTTGGTCTCTGAGGAGCTTACAATTCCACCCTCAAGGGAACTAGGAAATGGCTCCTCTGATCTCCTACCAGGTCATTTCTTTATTCATGGACCTTAGTCAGAGAGTGAGGAAACAACCAGAACTGTCTTTTATAGGAGGGACAGTGATGAGGGGATTATAGGACGAGGGTCCCCACCCCCTCTATCACTCATCACCATCTTTCCCAACACAAGAAGTACTGCACTTCCTTATTTAGTCCATGATTTAGTCATGAAGTATATAGGTCAGAGAGTGAGGATGGGGGGAGAACAACCAAGATGAAGACTGGACTGATCCTGATGACCACCATCATTGGGGGTATTGACTCCTCCCTCATTATCACTTTCTGTTTAAGGGTCCAAAGTTGGAGGATGTTATCACATTATTATCACCATGTAAAAGTCTGTGCTCCAATCACATCATCCGATATAAAATGTCCAGCTGGTAAAAATGGGGGTAACAAAAGAGAATCCATATTATGTGTAAATATAGCAGTGGGGGAGGGGGGAGAGCAGAAATCAGGACAATGGAATGTACAACATAGAATATATAGTGCAGGGGTCAGGAGTATGTAATGCATAATATAAATTATATAGCGTAATGGTCAGGACTCAAGATATTGGTATTCAGTAATCAGTGGCAGTTTACATGTTTACTGTAGACAAGTTGCAGAGGTCCCACACCGCTGCCTCCCATCTCCTGAGACTGCACTCAGTGACTTGGGTCTGAGACTATACAGACATATCCCTCCACCCGGCACAGCCAGCAAATAACAGAGCAAGGAACCCTGGGAGAATTGTTCTGTCAGAGATCAGGATTGGGGAGGGAGACCCTAGACACATGCTTAGTTTGAGTATCGCTTATCAACAAAAAAATCAACATTTTTCTGCCAGCTGAACCCCAGAATCTCTAAATCCAGTCTAGATACATAAATTGTGTCTGCAGCACAGAGAAGGAAGATTATCCGAGAGAAATCCAGGAATACAGGACGGGGAACACAGCTCAGGAAAGTGACCAGGGGATTACAGGCTGATATCACCCAGTCCCCGCCCTACTCTGGACCAATCAGTGAGCAGTATGGGTGGAGGAATGGATTTAGTGTTCATGACCCACCTGTGCTGATCTCTGTAGGAGTGTCCTCCTCTATAAATGTCCCCGTTATTCCATCCTCCTCCATAGACTGCTGATCATCCCTCACATACGCCTCTTCTTCTTCTGCTTTCACCTCAAACTATATATTGGATCTCTCAGGTTTAAATCAAGAATAAATGAAGAAAATGACATCTGTAAGACAACTTTATTAATGTGAAACCACTTAAACAATCCACACATTGTCTCCTAATGATACTATTCTTTATAAGCTCCATCCCATCAACCTTGTAATGGTGAGGGATGGTGTGACCTTCCTGTGTGGAATCCCAGGAATACAGAGGACGGGGACATCTCTCTGGTGGGTTCCTGGTATTAGGTGGCTCCATCATATCCTTGTGTCCTTCTGAAAACTCCTCCATCACTCCATACTCCTCATCCTCCTCTTTATACTCTTCTTTAACATCAATATTATCATCCCCGAGGATTCCACTCTGAAAGATATAATAAAACATTCATTGTAACAAACATGCTGTGTATAAATCACAACTACCAATAATTGTCATCATCTACCTGATGATGGTGAGGGATGGTGTGACCTTCCTGTGTGGAATCCCCGGAATACAGAGGATGGGGACATCTCTCTGGTGGGTTCCTGTAGCTGGATGACTCCACCATGGTGTCCTGGTACAGATCTTTGTGTTTTTCTGGAACTCTCTGACTCCTCCATCCCCCCATCCTCATCCTCCTCCTCTTTTATCTCTTCTTTAACCTCAACTTTAGGATCTCTCAGGTTTCCACTCTGAATATATAATAAAAATGCCATCAATGGTAACAATGCAGATAATGTACAGATCCTAATGATACTATCAGTGATGGTTCCTCATCTACCTGATGATGGTGAGGGATGGTGTGACCTTCCTGTGTGGAATCCCGGGAATACAGAGGACGGGGACATCTCTCTGGTGGGTTCCCATGACTGGATCCATCTGTAGGAAACACACACACTGACTGAATCCATTGTTTCTATGTGTTTATATCAGATGATGGGGGATCTAGGTGGATCCTCCGTACTGCTCTCTCCTTTACAATAAAGTCTCCTCTTACCCGGTGATGTGAGGGGCGGCTGATTGTCCATCATGACGTCCTTGTAGAGATCCTTGTGTCCTTCTAAATACTCCCCACTCCTCCATGGAGAAATAGACAGTGACACCCTGACACCTTATAGGAACCTGACACACACAATGATACAGTCACCATCCAGACACATCCCTTGTCTGTTACTGGAGAATGTCCCAGAATTCCCGGCACCGCTCACCTCTCCTGTCAGCAGCTCAGTGATCTCTCTGGTGACTTCTAGAATCTTCTTCTTCTTTTCTCTCTTCTATCAGGGAGGGAGGTGGAGGCAATGTGATGTCATATGATCTCCAGACTTCACAGGAGGAAAACTCTACATCTGAACACAAAGAGTCAAATCAAATGATATTCCCAGAATCCTCCTCACCTCTCCATTCAGGTCTCCATTTTATTAAAGCCCCACTTCAGGCTGAGGTATAATTTCCCCCCACAGGACCCCCACACTAGGCACGGAAAAAGGAATTCTGTTGTCATTACACACAACGCAGGATCTACAGTTCTGTTTTGCTTATGAGGATGCCAAGGGTTCCCCACATCCCTACTGAATATAAACAAAAGGATCCAGATGGAGGGACATTGGGAGGAGGAGCTGTGAGGTCAGTGTGATGTCATAGGATTCTCTGACTCCGGATGGAGGGACATTGGGAAGAGGAGCTGTGAGGTCACTGTGATGTCATAGGATTCTCTGACTCTGGATTGAGGGAGGGACATTGGGAGGAGGAGCTGTGAGGTCAGTGTGATGTCATAGGATTCTCTGACTCTGGATGGAGGGACATTGGGAGGGGAGCTGTGAGGTCCATGTGATGTCATAAAATTCTCCAATCCCCCACCACTTTTTAAAGTGGTATAATCCAATGGTATAGACTACCAAGGTGAGAAGGTGACCCCTTCTCCACAATGAGGAGAATGTTCCGGCCCCGGAAGTGGGGGAATGTTGTGCCCCTGAAGGGGTTAATCTGGTTCCCACACTATATATGTGTGTATCATCATCTGCTGGAGATAAAAGACATCACAGTGACTATGGAGGAAGAGGACGGACATGACTATGGAGGAAGAGGACGGACGTGACTAGGGAGGAAGAGGACAGACGTGACTATGGAGGAAGAGGACGGACGTGACTATGGAGGAAGAGGACGGACGTGACTATGGAGGAAGAGGACGGACGTGACTATGGAGGAAGAGGACGGACGGACTATGGAGGAAGAGGACGGGGGGTTACTGGGTGTAAATAGGAAATAACATCTTATTACCTCCTCTGCTGCCACTTCCACCATCTTCTCTCTACTTCCTCCCACCTCACCTCTCACCCAGAACTTCCTGTGTGTATGTTACATCACTTCCTGTCTGTACCTGACATCACTTCCTGTCTTCCATAGAGACTTTCTGTATGGGCGGAGGTGAGATTACTACCTTGTGGAGCTCAGAGGAACTGCAGCCCCGAGAAGCGTCTGGTAGTGTGACCCCGGCCTTGTGCTGGGTGTGTATGGACTGTAGATCCTTATAGAGGGGTCACCTCCACTCCCACCAAGGGGGACAGAAATATATGACTGCCTAGTCCAGCCTTTCTCAGTCAGGGGTCCTCCAAAGGTTTCTCGGGGTTCCTTCAGCAATGAACAATTCCTGTGTGAATCTGTCAGATTACAAGTCCCCATTATCTGGGTAAGGGGGTGTCAATCATCGCACGTCGCTGACATTTACAGATCTAGAGGAGTTTGAAATGTTCTGCAGATGACATTTCCCTCCCGGATTCCATTATAACAAGAAGAAACATCCCCCAGACCCCGCAGTACATAGCGCCCCCTCGTGTATTGTGGGGGGACTGTGAAGGGGTGTGTGTGGAAATGAAGTTTTATTGGCAGCTCAATGTGTGTCATTATCGGTCACTCTGCTGTCACCCCATCCGGTGTTCTCCCAGGTTTGTGTTAGTAGAAGAACATCATGTGACCGTGTATTCCTGGAACTCTTCACACTCAGCCGATGCGGGGCCGCTGCATTTTTCAAAGTCCTGCTTGTTGCATTTTTAGTGCAGGTTTGGTGTGGTAAAAGAAAACACCCAAAACACACCTCCCATTGAAATAAATGGAAAACATGGCAAAAACTCATCAAAAATGCACCTGCCTTGTTTTTTTTTTTTTTTTTTGCAGTTTTTGAATCACGTCTTTTAAAAAATGCAAATGCAGGAAAAATACAGCAAAAAGTCATACGTGTGTCCCGCAGATCAGTGTGGGAGGAGCCTTAACGCCACTTTTGCTGGAGCACATTCTACAGTGAGAATGGAAACAATTCATAACCCCCTCCCCCACCTCAACAAAATGCACGCCAGACTCCTATAGAATGGGGGGAAAAAACTCAGCTCTGGCAGTGAAAGGGTTAATGTGGGCTAGATGGGACCAGTCTCTTGTGGTCACACTCTAAACATTAGAGCTCCCCCTAGCTGCAGCCTGGTAATAACACTGCTAAGAGGTCTATTCATTTACTGCTACATACTTCCCATCTTTAAATCTGAATTCCATATTAATATGAGCAGAAAATTAATGAAATAGTAAATCTAATCATAATCTCGCCTCCACAGAGCCCTGCCTTCCCAAGTCCTGCCCCCACAGAGCCCTACCTTCCCAAGTCCTGCCCCCACAGTGCCCTGACCTCCCAAGTTCAGCCCTCACAGTTCCCTGCCCTCCTGAGTCCAGCCCCCACAGAGTCATGCCATCCTAAGTTCTGCCCCCACAGTGCCCTACCCTCCCAAGTCCTTCCCCCACAGTGCCCTACCCTCCCAAGTCCTTCCCCCACAGTGCCCTACCCTCCCAAGTCCTTCCCCCACAGTGCCCTACCCTCCCAAGTCCTGCTCCCACAGTGCCCTGCCCTCCCAAGTCCTTCCCCCACAGTGCCCTACCCTCCCAAGTCCTGCTCCCACAGTGCCCTACCCTCCCAAGTCCTTCCCCCACAGTGCCCTACCCTCCCAAGTCCTTCCCCCCACAGTGCCCTACCCTCCCAAGTCCTTCCCCCACAGTGCCCTACCCTCCCAAGTCCTGCCCCCACAGTGCCCTGCCCTCCCAAGTCCTGCCCCCACAGAGCTCTGCCTGTTCCTATGGAGGATCCCACTTTGATAAGCCCTCCTTTGTCATTCTCCTCGGCACACTGCACACCGGTATCACACTCTTTATGAATGAATTCCTTACTTTTAGCCTCGTGCTTTCCTGTGAGAAGAGTGATCTGTGTTCAGATCATTCCTCAGAGATCATTGGGCAGGGTGGGTCGGAGTTGTATCACCTTCTCACCACCAACTTGAACCCCGCACTAGTGTGCTACAACCACATACATTGCATGCACTTGTTGGGCAGTCACAGAACAGCCTCATTTTCACTTCAGTAAGTCACATTCAGCAGGAGCTACACCCACCAAAAGTGACACCCCCGTGGTTAATTGCTGCTGTGACTGCAAAGATAACCATCACTCTTGTGTACACACTACCCACTGTCTCTGCAGATAAAGGGGACAGTAAAAGTGCAGCTCAGCTGTCTAACATCAATATAAAGGGAAACTCTGCTTCAAAACTAAATAAAAGTGTGGGGTTCCTGTCACGGATCCAACCCACATGCACACGCCAACAGCGACTAGCTAACCGAGTACGTCCGGCTGTGACTTGGAATAAGAGGGAATAAGGGGGACTTAATTTGAATAGATATACATATATAAGACTGACCGTGATACACTTTCACAGCCCACACTACCTCTGGCCACCACTAGAGGGAGACTCCACTCCAATCCAGCTGGCTGACCACACACACAGGCAGATACAAATCTTATATACAGTCTGGTGCACTCTAAGGGTTGAGGAGCAGCTTAGTAATTTCACACCCTTCTAGGATTCCTCCAGCTATCCTACAAGCTAGAACCCCGATGTTAATCACTCTTCCACTGTTCACACCCCCACACCAGACACACACAAATGGTAGCTTGTCACCCCCCAACAGTTTTACTGGCCTGCTGGGCCACCACACACACACACACAGATCTCCGTCTGGCAGACCTGTTACCTTTACAATCTGCATGCAATCTGCCAATACGCAGTGCAATTGCATACAGATTGGCAATGAACTTGACCGAGCATATAAAGACACTACAATACAATAGAATCTCTCCGGAGATATGAGCCCGAGCTTAGTACCCAGAAGTCGCTTATTAATTTTATGATTTAATATCCCGAAAGTGGGCAGTGCATAAAATATGTACAAAGTATAAAAAATTACAGAAATACAAAACAAGAGACAAAATTGGCTATAAAATAAAAGGGAAATAAAAACAGAAATAAAACTTTTACCAAGATTTATCCTGCGACTGGAGATAGTCAGAGAAAGTCCGCAATCCGTCAGTCAAATAGAACCGGCTCTGTACAAATCACCACGTTCATATCTCAGGTCCTCAATTTATGGGAATATGGATGTAGGATGGACATTAGCCTTTGGCCAATCGACTCTGGGGGGTGATCCTGTACCAGCCCACAGGACGTTCTGGGTTCTAAAATGCCCAAAGTCGATTGGACCAGGAACGGTTTGAATCACCAAGGCAGGGAATAGAATTTCCGACACCAGTGCATCAGTCCGATAGCGACAGTACCAATCACTGTTCAGCTGTCACAATCAGGCGCCATACAGCCATTTTCTGCATTTCTCTGGAATTCTACATAGGCTACAAATACAGTTTTATATGCAGGCGTAGCCTACAGTGTGTCCAATCAGAAGGCGGTATTTTCATCTCTCTGCAACTAACATTTTAGCTTTTATGAGAGATCTGCTGATATACTTCAAAGCCCCCAGACACATCAGAACCACCTCTGGTCTCCCACTGTGTCATGAAGCCGAACTGTCTCCAGTCTTTTCCTTCCAAATTTCCCAGAAGGTGACAAATCTTATTGACATCCAGGTGTCACCTCCTTCCAGAGGAAGCTCTGTCCCTTTCAGATGCTAATGGATGACCATATGTCTCTGACTTAATTCTGAACACGTCTTATATTATTATAAC